TCGTGCAATATTTTAATACTGCAGCTCTAATAGTTTCACAGATAAATGATTTTTAAATGAGAGGTGCCACGCCTCCTACTGCTAAATTTTAATAGTCCAGTTGTAAGTTTCTCGGATAAAAGAATTTTTTATTTAATTCATATGGAAGTAGCCAGGCCCCTATAGCCAGTCCGCCAATTTATTACCCAAATGTTTACATGGATGTAAAAGTTGTTCATGCAAAATTTTTATATGGGAGGTTCCAAGCCCTCTAGTCCGTTCATGTTCACCCCAAATATACACCTGGATATCAAAATTCTATGTGGAAAATTTGAAGATTCTAGATCTAACTGTTTCCCAGATAAACGAATTTTAGTATTTAATCCATATTATGGGAGATGTCACGCCTATATTTCTATTCCGTCAACTTTTCGTCTAAAATATTCATGTTGATATAAAAGTGTCTCTGAGAAATTTTGAGGACTCTAGCTGTTTCATTTCCTCAGATATACAAATTTAATATTTTCTTTATATGGAGGTGCCACACCCATTTTGTCCCCATATGCTAATATGGATGTCAAAGTTGTTCGGTACAAAATTTGAGGACTCTAGCTGTTGCAATTTCTGATGCGCTTGACTGCCGATTTATATTTGAACCTTTTCCCTAAAATTCTTAAAAAGTTTGATCACAACTATCAAGACGAAGGAAGAGGTTCATAGAAATATATATTTGGTATGACAGGTCTTATTAAGTCCTCAACCAAGAGAGCTGATTACTATCCCAATCAAAACGGAAATCAGCCATTTCAAAATTTATCGATAGGGTTAAATACCTAGGAGTAATTCCTGATTGAAAACTGAAATGAAAATACCACATAGGACCGATTTCCATATCTTAAGTGAAGGTTGAAAAACATTACTGTATATTCCTCAGGTTGAAACGCATGCAGTATACGAGCCGGCTCTCGATTACAGGACACGTCCTTAATGTATATTGGATATATTTTATATACAAACTTTTGATGTACCCAATCGCATTCCGGGAAGAGAAATTGTCAGACATTTGGTTCCAGATGGGATAGAAGAGAACATTACGCAAAACTTTGAGGGAATCTCTTGATAAAACGGGCTTAGGGATCTATATTTACAGCCCGAAAATCGATCCTAGCACCCAGACAAAAGTTCTTACCCGATCCAGACAGTTAGATGTACCCGATCGTATACCAGAGAGATAAATTGTCAGAAATTGGTTCCAGATAGGAGATTATGAGAGCACTAAAAACCTTTGCGGGAATCTGGTAACAAAACGGGCCTAGGGATCTATATTTACAGCTTGGAAACCGATCACACAACACTAGCATTCTGACAGAAGTTCTTGCCCGATCCAGACAGTTTAGATGTCATCGCATAACGGAAAGAGAAATTGTTCGAAATTGGTTCCAGATAGATTATGGGGAGCATTAAAGCAAACCTTTGGGGAATCTGTTGACAAAACGAGTCTAGGTATCTATATTTACACCCTAATCACGAAATATTTATATTGAAATGCCGGCAACATATTTCCCAGTAGACAAGCCTCTTATGGGTACCAGACCTCTAGGGATAATTAGCAATTAAAAAAATACATTCACTTTTACTATAAAGGAAAGAGAGTTTGAAGAAGAAGGTTAAAAACTGAACAAAATTGGATGACAGGTTTAGGGTAATGCATAGAAGATGATGAGGATAGGGAACCACTAGAAACTTTCTTTGACATTGCAACAACTTCGTCGAAATAAGAATCAAATATCTTGTGGAAAATTCTAAGGAACTATATCCAGGATACTAAACTTCTGAACATTGGGCAATCATTATTTTCACAGATCGCTATATAAGGGTTTAACACAAACATTTTCCACGAAAAGGAAGTTACAACAGACCTGGTAGCGATCTAGAAGTATTTATCGGATCTAATGCATCATTCTTTCAACCGAACCTAAGTCCTTCACTCCTCACATTCGAACTATTGGCGAAGAGCTTGAATGTATAGGACATGTTAGTTGGTCCTTCCTCTGACCTCCCAACACCCTATGAAAAGTTGTAGTTCTGCAAAAATCACCTAGTAGCGATCTAGAAGTATTTATCGGGTCTAATGTATCATCCTTTAACCGAACTTAAGTCCTTCACTCCTCACATTCGAACTATTGGCGAAGATCTTGAATGTATAGGATATGTCAGTTGGTCCTTCCTCTGACCTCTCAAACACCCTATGAAAAGTTGTAGTTCTGCAAAATCATTTGGAAATTGAGACTATTTGGATGGTCATGTTTCCCAAGTTCTTTCTAACCCATTTTAACTAGAAGATCTCTAGATAAGCAAATATTTAGATTTGAAAACCCGGTAATCAACAAAATTTTCAAAACCATTACATTATATTCGTTGGGTAAAGTTTTATTTAAAGCGGAACTAGTTCAGAAATTTTCATTTGATACAGTTGGAGAAAATTACTATTAAATTTTGTTTACATAAACTGATGTAAGTTTAGATAAATTATGTATTTTAAAGTCTATTTAATAACTTTTTCTAAGGTGTGGTAAAAGCACTTCAGTCAAATACCAATCATTAATCATTATTACCTAGAACTTTACTATATAGCTTTCTTAAAGCTGAACCCCAAAAGCGGAACTATGCTTGAGTCTACTTTAAATATTTACCAAAAGAATAAAGTTGTAACCAGCAAAACAGAGGGTTAAATACCTAAGAAAGATGTAAAGAAATAAAGAAAATGAAATTTCAATTGTTAATTGTTTAAACAATTTCTTAAACAAATTGTTAAACTCAGAACTGCAAGAAACTAAAGAAAACAGCAAGGAAAAGTTTTGAGAACGAATGAATGAAGACAACGACAACATGGATACGCTTTGCTGATTATTGTCAGTTACAAAAAGTCAACAGCAATTTTGTTTAGACAACTAACGTTTTGGTTGTCTTTGCAACACATCTGTCTTGAGCTTCTGCTATTGCTGGCTGGTTGGTTGATTGTCTCTGTGTACTCAAGGTACAAACATTTTTTTACGAAGAAGTTTAAACAAGAAAATGCGTTAAATTAACTAACTAATGTTGACGACAACTTAACTAAAATAAATGGTTACAACAAACGTATAAAGTTGGTTGATTTTCAGTCAAGCAAAACGAACCGTAAGCAGCAAAAATACATAAATAAAAAAGGAAACAGTTAAATTTGAAATTAAAACTAACTTAGACAAAAAAAGGGGGAGGCGAGTTTAAAATAGTTTTAAAAATTCTAAAGAAATTGAAGTTGAGCAAAAAAAATCTTGAAACAAAACTTTAATTATAGTGGTCTATATTACTTTTAATGCGAAAATAATTGTTGTTTTATTTCTACAAATTACATATTTTGTCTAAAAATCTAAATAGAGTTGTAATTTTCAGTTTTTGTTTTTCTTCTTAATTTTAAACCGGAACATGTTAAAGACGTGCTTGTTGCTTAAAAATATATATTTAAATTTTTTTTTTACGTTTGCCTCAGTTCAAGTGTCTTTTATAATCGGCTTAAAAAAAAATCATTTCAACACAAAAAAAAAACGCATTTTTTGTTGAAATATTTTGTAGCATTTTGCGTTGGTATTGAAATTGTTACACCTTCGCTGGATTTTTTAATTTAACCTTTTTGTGTGTTTGCTTGGTTTTATTGGTGTCAAAAGTCATTTATTGGGTAATTGGATTAGAAGACAAAAATTGAAAAAAACAATCACTAAACATAAGAAAACTATAGTCGATAGGGTTGATTTTAATGAAAAAATTGCATTTTGACAGATTGAAT